CAAATAATACAAAGACTCCATCTCCTTGGATCAAGTTTTTGGATTCTCCCCTCTGGGGGTAAGCATTCAAATGAACTCCTCCTATGGGGCATGGTACTTTCTCTTACTACAGGTCTAAACAAGTGTGACGTCACCCCACCTGTGTTTACTCGGCAGTCAGTGACGTCACGTGATGACCTCACACACACAGGCTGAATCTTGTCGACTTCCCCTTAGGTCAGTGACGTCACGTGATGACCGCACACACAGGCTGAATCTTGTCGAGCAGACAATAAAATGCAGGATAACACTATTTATTAAACAACCAATGCATTTAATATTCATCCAACAAAAAAAAATCATTGAAAAAAGGTACAATTCATTGACTAAAATCAACATATTTTTCTCTTGAAGAAATTCTGTGCATTTTGTTCTGGATCTTCTTCGTCGTCACCATCTCAGCATTACACATTTCATATACAACATAGGGAAAAACTAATACACAATATTTTCATTATTTATTTATTATACAACCAATACATTCCATATACATTTCTGGTAATACAACATGGGAAACACTCTATTCTCCTACGTTTAGATGGTGGAATATCAGGGTGTCCATAACCCAAGGATTCTTTAAGTTTTTCAAATGAAAATTTTTTATCTTAAAAGGGGCGGGCAAGCCGTCTTGCTTTTTCTTACTTTTACTATTTCACCTTTTACTTTTACTTATAAAATTCCCACGGGGAATAATTCCCTATCTCCCATTTTTTTAAAAACTTTTTGAAATCTTGATGAGTTAAAAATGGCTTTAAAATAGGGGGGGGATACCCTTGGCTTGTGAAAGTAGTTGATCTTCCAGCAATTTTTAAAGGGAATACTTTTTGCTTTCATTTGCTAAAAAAATTCACTAATATGTTTTTCAACATTTCAGATTTAAATAACCCCACCCTCCCCTTTTTCTATATTTTTTCGTTTTGGGGGAAGGATCGGGGACTAAAATTTTTGAAAAATCCATATATCCTAACAAAGGTTCATTTTTTTAACTTGTGTAAAAATTTTTTTTTTTCCCAAGCTAAAAATATACGAGTCAGTATGGGTTTTTAAAGAAGTTTTAAAAATCATAAACCATATTGCTGTTTTAAAAATTTATACCAAAAATATACAATTTTTTTTTAATAAATCTCAAAAATTTTGGAAAACCGAGATAAAGTGGTTGTTTAAACTTCTAATTTCTCTTTGTTAAATGTAAAAATCCTCTGTCTTGATTAAAAATGTGTGATATTTTTTAAAAAAGGGTCTTTGCCGCTCTAAAAAAATGCTTTCTCATTTTTTGATGTGTTTTATAAAAATCGCATACTTTGTGATTTTCAACAATGTTTCCCATATAGGCGTTATTAGTTAATTTGAAATTTTTTGGGGACTTGATAGGACATCTTGTGGCTGTTTCTGTGTGATATTAGTTGTTTAAAAAGGTTCAAAAAAATTTTGACGGGGGAAAAGTTTTTTTCATATACAGATGAACCTTTTCCCCCTCTCCCCCAAGTTCCAGTAATAATTGTAAAAATTTCTAAAATGATAAAAATAATTTTTCTGGGGTAAAAAACCCGGGCCCACAAATTTTCCCCTTAGTTTTGGGGATTTTCAAACCTTCATTTTTAAATTTATAGATTCCCCAAAAAGGAGAAAAATATCTCTTCAGATATATTTTTTTTTTTTTTTTTAACACGGGCCCCGATTCCCACCAAGGCAGGGGGGCCCGAAAAAGAAAAAACTTTTTACTATTTATTCACTCCTTTACTGTCTTGCCAGAAGGGGGGGCTTTACCTCAGTTTTTTTTAAAAGAAAAATTAACACCCCCTTCAGAGGGGGGGGGACCTTGGGTAAAATTTTTCCAAACTCCAGGACTCAAGTCGGCCTGCCGGTTTCCCCGAATCCATTTTATAAATGTTACTTTCTTTACACCCAACAGAAAGTCAAGTATTAAAAACCATTTGGGCTCCATTCACTCCTATCAAAAAACGCTCAGCATGCCCCGCTGGAAGGGCCAAGCCCTTTGCACACAAAACCTCCTTTTCCCCCCCCCTCCAACCCTTTTCCCGGCCGACCCCCACCCCCCCTTCCCTTTCCCTTCAGACTGATTTCCTCTTTAAGTCATTTGTTTCGCTCATGTGTGTTATTCAAAAAGGGAAATTCATCAGTACGTCTAGCTACCTCAGGGGTCCGTTTTCTTGGTATCACCATTCTATCCAATAAACCCTTTTTTAAACCTTTCAAAAGAAACATTACTTAATCCCCCCATCGAGGGAAAACAATCTTCTTTCCCCTTCGATAAAATTTTTTGATCCATTTTGTGGAAGGCTTTTAACCCTTGCACTAGCATACAAAAAATTAAAAACTAGATATAAAAAAATGAGTGCCCTTCCAAAATTTCAAAAATCAAAAATTTGGGGTTTAAATTTTTGGATTATCGCTTGAGTATTTGGGTTAACTGCACACGTAAACCCTCCTTTAGATTCCTTTTTTAAACAAGTCATATAAACTCATGGGGAAAAATCTTTTCTAATTTTTTCTTTAGTTTTCAAGAGGAATGCGTCCCCCAAATGAATGGGTGGTAAAATTATATAATTTTTTTTAAAAAATTTTAGTTATAAAATACTTTGAGTGGGTTTTTTTCGCCCCCTCCCCGAAAGACATGGCTAACCCAAACCAACATCTGTCTTGAGATTAACATTAAATAATCTTTAAGCTTACATTTTCCCAAAATTTTTTGTATAATCTTCTGGTTTAAAAGCGCATTTTTTCAAAAAATTAAAAAAAGGGTTTTTTCTCGGTAATTTTGTTTCATCGAGTTTTTTTTAAACTATTCAATATAACATGCACAAAACTTGTTTTCCTTTACATAATAAAGGTAAGACATCCTGGGGCCCACATCTTTCAGAATAGCCTCTGTATATTTCAGTGATTTACCTCCCTTGATATGTTGATCTGCTAACGTGGAAAGAGATCCATTCAATAAAGACAGAGAATCTTGAAACCTACCTTACCTAGGGTCACTTTCAAGAATTTAAGGGACCTTGTTTCGAATGAAGTTAAATTTTCCCATATTTATCAACCTGCAATTCCTTTAAAATTATTCCTAAATCATACACATGTTATGGCAAAAAAGTAAAAATTTTCTCACTCTTATCTTTACACTGCAAATTACAACGAGCACAATCTGCACAAATATAATTATTCAATTTTAAAGTGTGGTCATGATGTTTATGTTTGTCTTGGGCATTTTTGAAGGTGTTACCACATAATTCACAAGTGATCTGAGAATCATGTCTGGTCTGATCCTCCTCTGTCATTTGGATTACATGATACTCTCTTCTAAACTTTATTTTATCCCATTCACCACTAACATTTAAAATGAAATGATTAACAGCATCCTCCCCCTTATAACTCTTCATACACACTATTTCTCCTTTGCGATCAAATATAATATAACAATAGGCAATAGCTTTATGACGAGACTCAATTTTACCTGCCGGGAGAGTGGTGTCTAATGCACATTCGAAATCAAATACACCGTTTAATTCGCTGGAATGTGTATGACTAAAATTTTAAAAGTGTACTGTTGTTCCTTTCCCGGGAGGAATAGGGAGAAATCTGATTGATTTTACATCCATCTTCGTGGATATCTAACTCTTCCTGTGTATTCAACTTCATCAAACAACTATGACAGTGCTTTTTCAATCATGATCCTTCATTATCGTTCTAACATATCCGTCAAATCTTTGATTAAACCAAATGACTTTCATTCAACAATAACGCGCACATAATGTCCTTATATTTCTTATTCCCCTTACGACACATAGCCATAAATGTCCTATCTTGATCCTTTCTTAATTGATAAACATATAATGACACTTTATTTTCCTTCTCTATTATACCTAACTTATCACGTGTAATGGGGAAATCATCTATAGAAGATTTTGCATGATTAAGACATCTTTCCTTAGTATTAACTGCTCTAGGGATATGTTTCCATGACATGTTCTTTTATGACATTGATAGGCAGCAAAAGCACGCAGTACACATAACCCATCATTAATCACTGGATTAAATACATATTGGCTCCCTCGCAGTTTCTTGGGATATGCCACATATGATCCTACTTGTACTCTGAATTCTACTTCAACGTATTAGATACTGAAAGATTCGATTTGATCTATGATCCAGCCAGATCCTTCCTGATCTTGTAACTCTGTCTCGTATCTTTCTAATATCGTTCCCACCCATCGATCAAATACTTCAGAGATTTCCTCTTCACTTACTAACTCAAACGCTAAATTCATCAAAAATTGGCCATTTGGATCATCACCCGATATGTTTTGATGTAATGTATTTATAACTAATTGGGTGGATTCTGAGCGACATTGCTAGAGGTGATCTATCATACATATCTCGCATCTGATCTATAAAATAATCCCTATAAGCATGTAAATACATTCTTAACTCCCTGTTGTAAGTTGAAGGAACACTATATTTCCTCACTGTATGCCTACCTCTAAAATTCTGGATGTATGTAATAATTTCTGGTCTCTCATCTTCACCTCCACTATTATGTGCGACATTACTGACAGACACGTCATGGGAGGTAGTTGCTCTCTCATCATCTTCATTAATGGGGACAGAAGTATCCGCACCTCCCGCCGCACCTCTGCCTTGTGAGGTACCAACACTAGCAGATCTACCTCCATGCTGTGCGTCATTACTCTCAGTTTGATTCACAACAGTACCAGGTGTATTTCCTGCAGAGGAAAAAAGTATATCCAATTCATAACCCAAAATATTTTTTTATATATTAAGATTTCAATGAATAGAACAAAATCTTTCACCCTTTTCAGTTTTTACATATTACGATTTAAGATTTTAATGAATGGAACAAAAAAATCTTTCTCGAGTGACTAACTCATTTTTACGATAAATATTTTTCACAACAAAAGTAAAAAGATCACAATTTGGATACATACCTGTTTCTACAGCCTTCTTCCATAATACATCTATGCGATCCCACTCATTCTGTAATTCTAACAACCTCTCATTGCGATGTACACCACCTCTCTTGATTTCCAACGATCGTCGCCTTCTAATCGACAATCTCCTCTTCACTAATGCTTCCAAGTAATTCGCGTATATTCTTTTCTTATCCTCTGTTAAGAATTTCACTTATTAACGCACTAACCCAGTAAAAATTTCACTCGTATGCTCCAACAACAAAATTTTTTCCCCATTATATCATTAAACTTGTTAAATAATATCTGTTTCACCACATATCAAGATTTTCTAAGTACAACTTACCTTTCTCCATGATGTGTGGTTCACCGTTGGAAGATGAGGTCAGCCAGGCTTGACGGATGGAAACACAATCCCCGCTCTGAGAGACTCCTTGACCTTATATGGCTCACCCCCAAGTATTGTGTCATGATTTTTGTACACCCCTTCCCCCCTCCGACGACGCCATGAAATGCGGTTCACATCCAAGGTAGAAAATCACACGTTAGTTAGTTTAATATGTTTATTATGCACCCCATACCCATCCTGTGGGCGGTAGTCAAAAGATTACAGAGGTACATAATTGGTCCAGGGACTGGACTCCAAAGTTTTGATAGCTGAGCAAGTTACAGAGGTAATGAACTCACAATTTACAAAGGTAATGAACTCGCAATTTACAAAGGTAATGGAACTCACAATTTACAAAGGTAATGAACTCCAGGTAAGTCTGGTCACAATCATGGAACAAGTTACAAAGGTATTTACAGATTACAGAGGTACGTAAAGGGTCCAGGGACTGGGCCCCCAAAGTTTGATAGCTGAACTAGGGTACAAAGGTAAAGAGCTCACAAGTTACAAAGGTAATGGGAAATTTTGTAGAATGGTTACTTACGTTTATACTTTTGGGTACAATCAGAACAAATTATAGATTTAAAGAGGGAATTCACACTTCCCCACCCGGTCACAACTGTAATGAGTTATTGGTGCAAATTTTTGATTGTTGAGTCACACACACCCCACACACCACACACACACACACACACAACACACACACACACACACACACACACACACACACACAACTTTAGTTTATATATTTTTTGCACCCCATTCCCATCCTGTGGGGCGGTAGTCAAAGATTACAAAGGTCATAATGGGTCCAGTGACTGGACCCCCCAAAATTATGATAGATGAATAGTTACAAAGGTAATGAACTCCAGGTAGATCTGGTCACTAATATGGCAAGTTACAGAGGTAATGAATCAGCTTCACTCCTATACATGGTTACAGTCATGAACAAATTACAAAGTAATGAACCACTGATACGTCCACACCTGTCACAATTGTAATGATTATAAATACATATTAAGTGGATCATACACCCACACTAGCGCGGCGCGAGCACATACACACACGAGGGCGCACGCACGACATGTGCACACGAGCGAACAAATATATGCACCACACAAGGACGCACACCCAACACACACACCCACACAACACACACACCAAACACCCACACACACTCACCCTCACACATCCAACCCCACACACACACCCTCACACACACCCACACCCACACAACCCACACACACATCACATGCACAACACACACACACCCTTGCCACAACACACCCCACACGCACACACACACAGCCCTCCAACACACCCCGCACCACACAACCTCCACACACACCCACACACACGCGCACGACACACACAACACACTACACACACACACACCATGCACACATGTGGTAATGCTTTATTTTACAGCTAGCAAAGTCAGGGTATTTCTCCAAAAGGTCGAGCAATATACCACTGTGGATAAAGACTTAGCCATTTCCCTTGAAACACTTCTGGAGTGGTTGTTTCTACATTCATTAATTTGATCACACTCCAGTACATAAAGAAGCAATGGTGTGACAATATCCCATCTGGCAAAAGTTTACATTTCGTTTGGTCTAATCAGGTGAGTGAGTTAACCTGCCAAAGATACTGTACCCACCTAGCCGGGCCAGTAGTGCATCCCAAGAGTCTGCTTTCTTGATGTATGCACCATAGACAAATTTGCTCCTCCTGCATGATGGAATGATGATAGAAAAAAAATTTTGGACTGACTGTGTCAATCCTCCCTATGTCTAAGTCAATAAATTCATTTTGAAGTTCTTTTCGTATTGTTGTTCTCAAACTGCTAAATTGACAACCTCAAGATTGTAATCTACCCCCTCTTTGAAAGCATACAGCTTAGCCAATTTATTCAGTTCTCTCAAGCATTCTGAAGACGCAATGTTAGAAGAATCCACACATGTGCACTCTGACTCACTGTCCAACAATCTTACCAATCTTCTATGTCTGGCTTCTGACAAAAGCATGCACAATTTATACTTAATGAGTTGAGAGCATTAAGGATGACAGAGATCATTTTACAATTAAAGTGTCAACCTAGATACATGGACACCTTTGAGTGTCAAGGAGTATGGCAAACAGTTGTGTATAAGGTAGAGGCCCAGTTATGATGCGTGCTCGCAAATTTCTATATTATACCATCACACTGTGTGACAACAGCATCACTACCAGCTGCAACCAGTGGACAGGTGGTACAGAACCAACACGTAAATAATTGTGAAAGATAGTTCTGTGTGACTAAGTTTATCAATACAGCTATGGCATCAGTTTGGCTTCAAGACGAAGCTTTGTTGTGATTTAAGAAGAGATTTTGAGGGGGAAATGGAGGAATTGTTAGTTTGAATGGGGTAATATCCCATGGAGCAGGAAATGTCTCTGTTGTCCCACTTGAATAGATCATGTAGCTGGTTCATGCGAGGTCGGTTCCCGTTTTTTCGATCCTCTGGAAGGATGTTCCCATTGCTGGGAAAGTTTTGGAGGCTTCTGCTGCAGGGGGTTTGAATGGTCTAGCCTAAGCATATTGACCCCAATAATATATTTCTTTCAGTAAACACTATCACTAAATGCTTGGAAATATAAAGTTCTTCATACCGCATATTTAAAAATTTTGGCAGTACAGGGCATCCTATGATGATCCCTCCAATTGCTTCGTTTTGCATTTTTTCCAGCCCTCCCAAGCTTCAATTCAGACACGAGTGCAAGTAGTGGCGCTGCATAATCAACCAATGATCTAATATGAAGCAAGATACATCATTTTCCCACACAATTTTAACATTAAGCACCATACCTTTGATGAAAACCGCACAACCTAAGTGCTCTCAGCCTTTCTTGTATTGCGACAAAGTCCGTTACAACAGGTCCAAGTAGTGTAAACCTCAAAGCCAGATACCTGTATCTGCTTACATATTCTAGAAGTGACCCATCAATGCAACTGGATCTGACGAACTGTGGCCTCTCTGCCGAGGAGGACGCCTGTTGAGTATCTTTGTTTTATCCCCCTGAGATTATTAACCCCAGGTCCTACACGAGGCTAAACCATGATTAAGAATGTTTTGGGTGTTGGAGAATCCGGTAGTGTGATTCAATTATGTCATCAGCAAAACTAACCATATAATGCTGGGGCTGGCTATGCATGGCATTAAGATCAGGCATTAATCAAAATGTATGAAAAGGGTGGGACAAGCACACCTCCCGTGGGGTTCCTAATTCAAAATCATTAGTTACACTTCTATATGTCCCAGGAACAACACAGACGACTATTCTGATTGGACAGGTAACCTTTAAATCCAGCGGAGAAACCATCCTCCCAACAACCATTCTGGCAAGTTCAAACTAATGAAAATTACATGTCTGTTGGCTACAACATCAAAGAGCGGAATTAAAGGTCAAGTAACGTATTGTATGAAGCTGTCCCCATGTGCAGAGTGAGGAAAGGTGGTAAAGCAATGATGCACACTCCTCCAAGCATGAAGCCATGCAAACCGGGGTGACCAAGAATTCCTTAAATTTCTGGTGCATAAGACGATTAAGAATCAATCCTTTCAAATGTGTTTTACAAACAAGCAGCTAGTAAGGGATATTGGGCCGAAAATGAGTTTTGTTGAGTGGCTTTGGAAGGGAATAATGAGCGATTGTCCATGATTAAGGGAAGCTCCCCATGACATAACTCATGTTATATAATTCAAGTAAAGGGTAAACCTTACTCTCGACACAGCAATCTGAGTATGTTGTTAAGTAAACAACCACACCAGGCGACGTGGAGTTGCCCTTAGTTAGTGCTGCATCAAGTACATAATTAGTGAAAGGAATGTGCAGTCATCTGCCTTGCTGACATTAAAGCAAAACAAGTCTCTCCCTTGCATCATATTTGTCCATTAATTCGCCTGGTGGTACAGGTAAGACTGTCATAGCTAGATGTAGGCAGCCCAAGCACTTACTAACTCATTCGTGCCTATGCAAGGGAATTGAGGGTGCGCGATCTGCCCCAGTTCTGTTTACCCTTAATTCTATTCTTTCTATTTAAGTCCCTCCATGCCCGGCCTAAGTGGGGTTGAGCCAATTGAGACCATTGACAAATTGTTCCAGTCTGTTTGCCGCAGCTCTGTCATAAACGCTCTCTGGCAGCAGCAAGGGCAGTTTGGGAGAGGGCTCTCATTTCAGGGGTACGATGGTTTTCTATAGGCTAGGCCTAGTCTGGTCGAGCAGTACGTTTCAATGTTCGAAGTTTAGAAATCATTGTAATAGGTATATTTTTTATAGACTTATGATTATTAGGGAAGTCATTTGGATTTAGAGTATAGGAGGTTTCGAGGCAGCTCTAAGAATGTTCTGAATACTGCTCACAAGGTCATTGTTAAAGTCTCGACAGAGTTACACTCATAGAGTTACAAAACCAGTCAGTCCATGGTGCAACAAAGTCATCATGTTGATCAGGGGAACTTTAAAGACGTTTCCATTTGAATATCCCACCAGGGAGAATAGTATTAAACATATCAGAGAGGTTAGCCTGGGACATGATCAGACGCTATATCTTTACAATGGAAACTCACAGCTGGCAGAAGTAATTTGAAGCCTAAAGACACAGATCAAGGACAACCTCCATAGATTATGTGTGGGTCAAGGTCACCTACAATTTTGCACATTATCATGACTGTTTAAGAATGACAACAGTTTGATTGCCATTACTATACCAAAAACTGAGAGTTTCCCAATGCATTTGTGTCTTGCATTATAAATCACCCATTAATGAGAGGTAGGTTCAGGAACTGAGCACAAGTTGGGAGGCGTCCAAGTAATTAAAACTTATCAGCGGAGCCGAACAATTAATAGTTGAAGCAGAGTTTCCCCATATAAACCAAACAACAACCGTGATACTGTAGCCCCTCTGTTTTCTTATGGGCCAAGAAGTTTGATGGGGAAGTGATTTTGTAAATATAGAACACAAGAATTAGTAGAATTTGAGGTTATTGCAAACAAACATGGCACAATTTAGGGTTTGGGATTTTCAGGATTCTCTGGCATTCTTGTAAAC